ACATAGTGCTGGTCCGGCTGGGAGGCTGCTCTTGCCAATGCCGAATCGTGCCAGACCCTGGCGCTGAAGTTCAAACAAAGGTTGTCTTGAAAYGGGCCTAAAAATGGCCTGCGCTAAACCCTGGTCTGGCGCCTAAGTTTCAGGGAAGGTCGACTTTATGAGGGCCTGAAAATGGCCCTCCTTTTTAGGCTTTCAGGCTGAAACGACACAGGGCGTGGAGGGCCCTTATTTTCCGTCTGGTGGGGCCCTGCAGGCCCGTGTGGATGCGCAGTATGCCACAAAGGTAAGCAAGGCAAAAGTCAGCATGGCAAAAGGCAGCAAGGCAAAGAGAGTCGAGGCAAAAGGCAGCGAGCTGGAAGGCAGCAAGGCGAAGCCAATGAGGCAAAAAGTGGCAAGCCAAAGGCAGCTAATCGGCCAGTCAAGCGGCACCGAAAGACAAGGCAGCAAGGCAAAAGGCAGTAGCAGAGAAGGCCGTCAGGCGAACAACTGCGTGGCCAAAAGCAGCCAACCAACCAGGCAAACAGCACGGAAACACATAGCAAAGCAACAGGCGTCAATGCAGCAAGGCACAGCGAGGCAAGAAAGACAACAAGAGGCAAAAAGTACGCCAATTAAGCGACACCTGAAAAGCATGCAGCATACGTTTCTCGGCTTCTGTCTAAGATAAGTGTCGTATCTGTTCTGATCAGTTTAATGTCGGATCTGTGGTTCATCGGGCCACATGATGCAAATTATTTTTTTGGGAAAAAACTGTGTTCGTCCCCGGGTGGTCCGACTGGGGGAAGGTCGCCCGGGTACCCTCCTGGGCGGCCCGGGCCGGGCAGGGACCGGGCAGGGTCCCGGGCGATCCCAGCGCATAATATTAAAAAGTAGAACGTAGAAAAAAGTCAAGAAATTCGGACAAAAAAAACTTGTGTAAAGTTGCAATACAAACGACTTTTGGCTGAGGGCCACCTCAAAATTCCTTGTTTTTTTTTTTGTTTTTTTTTTTAATAATAAAACAGGGCCTTATGGTCCTGGCTCCTTTCCATTCTGGGGAGCATCAGTCCGGTTCCTATTCCACCGGCAAGTCATAGTAGAATTTACAACAAAAAACACCCCCACGCTTCCTTCCGTCTGGCCGAAGGACCCCTGAGCAGCATTGATTGCTCCATCTGGATGGAGCATTGACTCTCAGCTTGCCATGTCGCACTCTTTCCTCTCAGACCTGATAGTCAGATCTGTCAGATGTATCTATATCACCTAGAAAGAGTTCACCCCTCGACCCAGCTAGTCCTTTTACCCCACGTTACCCAACCTATCCGTGCGTACCACAACCCTTTGCCCCCCCTTGTCTTCCTATATAGGAACACCTCTGCGTATCTGGCGTCTGTTGCGGGGGGTTTGACTGGGCTAACCACCATCCTTTTCTCCAATTTATCTTCATTTCTTACGCGAGTTGGAAAGCTTGCATGGCCTTGGTTAAGGCTAAGAAAGACGAGTCTGACGCTCTAATTAACACTGTCAGATCATCGACGAAGAGAATGGTTGTCGGGATGTGCAATTGTTTCTCCCCCTGTTGTACTACCAGTCTTTCTATAGAGGGGTCCTTACGAAGGAAAGCCGCTATTGCCTCCATTACAAAGAGGAAGATCGGAGCTGCTAGAGGGTCCCCTTGTCTGACTGATCTGGTCATCCTATAGCTTTCGAAAAGGTGTCCATTAACCTGCACCATCCCTTGGGCGTCCCCGTAGAGGACTCTTACCCATCTCCTGAAGTTTGGTCCAACTCCCATTTTCTCCATACTGAGCTGTAAAAAATCCCAGTTCACCTGGTCGTAAGCTTTTTCAAAATCAAAAAACAATATGGCCGCTTGTAATTTCTTGTCTCTGATGGTCTTCGTGGCCTCATTCAGGCTTACCACATTGTATAGAATGTATCTTCCGGATATGAAACCCGTTTGATCAATGTGGAAGCATTTTTCCGTGATGGTTCTTATCCTATTAGCTAGGGTTTTGGCTAAGATTTTGTAGACCACAGGTAACAACGTAATGGGTCTGTAGTTCCTTATGTCTTCCCTGTCCCCTTTCTTGTACAGGAGCGTGACCACTCCCATGCTGCAAACCTCACCTATCGAACCCTTAGTGAAAGCCTCTAAAAAGAACTTGGTCACTGTATCGCCTACGTGATGCCAATTACTTTGCCAGAATTCTTTCGGTATTCCGTCTCTGCCTGGCGTTTTATTCGGCTGCATGCTCGCAAGAGCTTCGTACAATTCTGACTTAGTGATTTCCTTTTCCAATAAGTCTCTCGCTATTGGGCTGAGACTTTTGTCTAAGTGCTTTAGGAATTTTTCCCTGGCCCTATGCACGCTGCCAGGATTAGCTAGGAAAGTTTTGGACGTATATAAGTCCTGGTAAAAGTCAGCGGCTACCCTTAATATTCCTACTTGTGATGTATGTGTGGTTCCTAAAGAGTCTTTTAGGGCTAGTATTCTACTGTTTCTGTTATTTGCTTTGATTCTTTGGAAGAAGAATTTTGTCA